CGTCCGAGGCTGTAGAGCCTCTTCCCAGGGGAGAGTGCTTCATCTCTCTCCACAGAGGGGCCAGTGGGCTCCAACCATGGACCTTCTGGTTATCAGCCCCATGCTTAACCCACTGCACCATCAGGGCGCCAGTTTGCAGCAGCAGTGTGTAGTCCATGGCCAAGTGTTACTCATTGTCCAGAGATGTGCTTCTCTCTCTTTATGAGAATTTGACTTTCCATGAAGTGTGTGATGATCCCAAATGTCACTACTATCAGCGAGGAGCCACTGCCTTTTATCCTGTCATTAAAGTGCACAGATTCAGAGAAGCCACCCTTTCACAGGAATCCATAGCACATACTCATTCAAAGTGAATTCTAAATGCTGATCATTAATGAAGGGAGGGGGTGGGGACAGGTACAACGAGATTGTTATGATTTCCATCTGTTTGGAAAATCACACCTGTGGATGGAGCATGCCACTAATTTCAACAGATCCACACAGATGGACCTCATATCCACATAGACAGTCTAACAAGCATAGCAGGGTACAGATTACTAGATATACATAGATACATACACACAAATTACTACATCATTATATTATTTAAGGGCCACTTCAACCATACTTCCACATATATGCTATTAGTATTTGAATTTTACTCCCAACTAAATTGATTACCTCCCTCCCCTCCACCTCCCCACCCCCCCACCACAGTCACTACCATCTAATCAATTTCAGCTCAGTGATTTCATAGGACAAAGTAGGGCTGCCCCTTGGGGCTTCAAGGCTGTCAAACTATTTACAGAAGCAGAAACCTCATAGTTTTCCTGGGAGGTGACCGGTGGTTTCAAACTGCTGATCTTGCACTTAGCAGCCATATGCCACCAGAGCTCCTTATATAATTTATCTTTAGAAGAGGGTGTGTTTTACTAATTGAGTATATTAACAAAAGTAATTTCTTAGCTCTTACCATAAAATATAATGTAAATCATTAGTCCTTAACTTATCTCTATCAATTTTTTGTATCAGATTTTATAATGGAAAGACACATATATTATCTCTTATTTGGGAACTAATTTAAACTGGCATCATTTGTCAGCATGGCTGCAGTAATCCCAGCTCACCAGAAGGGGGAGGCCAAGGACTCTGCCTAATCTCTCTCAGGTTCACTGGCTTAATGGGAACTAGTACGTACTCTTTGTCTCTTGTCTTCAGTAATTCCCTTGATCTCTGACACTGAGCCTGGACTGGAACAGGTAGAAAATTATTGGTAATGATGACGGTAAAAAAGAAATCGGCAAAATACTGACCAAACAAGCAACGGCGGGGCCCTAAGGAGCCTGGCATTTC